AATGTGTGGAAATTTCTACAAGTTTTGTGTTTTCAATGATGCTGAACTTAGCTTGTGGCAGGAGCCATTTCCAGCACAAATTGCTTTGCTATAGTTACACAGAGATTTGAATGTCAGAATATATACATCAATGTCTGCTGGTTTGGAACACAGGCTTACCCATTCATTGACCATAAAATGTGGGGCATTTAGGAATGCCAGAAAGAAAATTAAGTATTCTCATGTGCATTATGTGAGACCACTGGTAAAAGTAAGGTTCTACTGGCTGAACTAGGCTTACTGTATTATTTAAGGTGTCAGATTGCTTGAAAAGAAATAAAGAATGCCTGGATGAAATTGAACCTTGGTGTTACTGCAAGTGATTGGGAAGGGTGAATTATTTGAAGATGAAGCTAAGTTATCTGTCTCTTCCACTGAAAACCAAGTGGTGTGAAAACCAGAAACTATGACTGACCCCTTCGAGAGCCCAAAGATTAGTGAGATCATCTTAGTGCAAAGACTGTATCTGTCTGACTAACCTGGAACCTTGGTTTCTCCAGTTTTTGGCTATCAGCCTTTCTGACCACACCCATGGAACACTGATGCACCGTAGATGGTAATGGAGTGTGGTTGTCCAGTTTTTGCATGGCTTGGGCAGCTCCTTGTATGTCAGATAAGCACTTGGTTTGCTCCACTGCCTCACAGTCAGTTTTCAGTATCGTCTAAGGCTTTGGTGTTGATCTTCAAAAGCAACTGTTGGATCAAACAGCCCAACAACATCAAAGGTTGCATTTCATTTGTGAACTGCCAGAATAGTAGTATTCCTTTGGGCAATGTAGGTGCTATCAGAGCAAATGTGCATCAGCTGGGAACAGTGTTGTGGTTTGGGGGTACAGGCTATGAAAAAAACCCACAAACCTGCGAGGTGATCAGGGGAATCTAGAGTAAGATGTTTTAAAGAAAATGCTACAAACCCCCTCTGTTTATAAATATGTTCCATCATAAACATGATGCAGAAACAACTTCTGTTTTCATCTAAAAAATAATTGTCAAAGAGAAGAAAATTAAGAAAATGTGGATTGCTGTCGGATCTTACAAAATACTATATTTTAAAATATCTTTTTATATGAACCATAATAGGCTAAACTTCTAAAAGGTGTGTATTTATGGTAGGGTAACCTCCTAGCACTGTTTAAAACTTACCTTTTCTTAGCATTATAATCACAAGTACCACATACTGGGAGAGGCCATATTGGCAAAAATTGAAGGGTGACACAGCTCAAAAAGGACTGAATATTTTATGAGTGTAACTCTTGGTGGACACAAGTCTGATCAAATTCTAAACAAACCTTGAAAGTTTTGTTTTCATCTAATCAGAAATATTCTCCCAGTGTGCTTTGTAAAGTACTATGCACAGAACTGATAGTGCCTAAGCATTTATTTCTCCCCCAACCTTGTTTGGAGAAACTGATAATTTGCTTAAAGCATTGAACATAAAAATTGCAACCCTAGACAAATTAATTGGAGGAAAACCCCCCTATTAAATTATAATAAATTAAATACCATAATAAATATGTATTTTGTAAATTAAATCTTGGCAAATACAACTTTTTTTTTTTTAATGTACGTGCAAGTTTTCATGGTGGTTTATTTTAGTTCTCTCTTTTTTTCTGATGATAGTAGATAATTGCCACCTGAGAGCCTAACGCCTGGTAGAATAAGACATCATTCGGTTCTTTGGGACATTTGAGTCCCTTGAGTGTCTGAGGTACATCAATTTCTTCATTTTCAGTATCTTGCAGCCTGCCTAACACATTTACCTGAGCTCCACCAGCCATTCAGTCTTCTTTAGGAGGACAGAAAGTTGTCATTACATCTTGTAGCAAATGCAAGTAGAGTTGGAGGTATTCTGTTGAGAAATGTAGCAAAAGCTCTAGAGGAACTTGCCCTGTTTGCCTCATTGGGTGTATGTTTCCAAAATGACTACAGTAAGGTCGAGTATGATCATTGTTGACTTGGTACAATGGGGAAGGTTGAAGCAACGAGGTTTCCAAAACATCTAGCACAGAAATTTTGCTGAATTTTTCTAAAATGTTGAGTTTACATAAGAAGAATCTCTTTATGCCTCAGAGGGAGACTACGTGAATGCAAAAATGTTTTCATCTCTATGTCATGTTCAAACTGGAAGTCTTTGTGCAAAGTTTCTGTGGAACTGGATTACAAAATATGTCGGCTGGTGTCGTCTGAAGATAGAAAGAGATTGTCACCCTTGAGCAGAATGAAAATAGCAAGATGATTGCCAGCAAATCCAGTTCTGCTGGCCAGTCTGATTTGATGTCTGAACAGGTTTCCTTCCACAGTTGAAGTTGGTAATAAATACACACTCCAAAGTCTGTGTTACATTGTCACTAACCTTAGACATGAAGTACAGGCAGTTGAAATCTGTTCTTCGGTTAATCTCTTTTTTGATAGCAATTACCTTAGGAAGGGTCGCATCCTGAGTCTGTAAATTGCATCCTATTTGTATCTGAGGAAGTTTTATATGTGTCATTTTGAACTATGATTTTACTTCTTTTCTCCAGCTCTTGTGGTGAGTAATGTGAAGTCACAAGATTTCTTCTTCCTGACTGGCTGATATAAATTTGAAGCAAGAGAGGAAAAATAATGAGTTTCTGTTGTTCAGCTGTGGATGATAAATGTTCCTGTTGAAGTTCTTAACAATTTCAGGGTCTTATGAATATTTTAATGAATATGTAACCGGTGATACTTATAAGATAAACAGCTTCATGATTCCTGATGAATGAAAGAGGCATCTTTGCCATTACTTCTTTTGCTATAGCAAGCATTATGTTTAACACTTCTCTGCATATTTTCTTCTGGAAAAAATTAATATGAATATTTAATGGAAGTGAAGGTTTGATCTGCATGTGTGTAATTGTCTTTTATGTGTGCATATATAAATGACAAAACTTAAGGAACAATGCAGTCTCAACACTTCACTGACATAACTGAGAATGTGAATGAACAGCCCAAGATGATGGGCTGCCAGTTAGAAGATGACTGCCAATAAATGTTAGTATTACAGAACTCTGTTGCATGATGTTGCACATACACATTAAAAAATACTTCATTCCATACAACAGCTTTGAATGCTACTTCTCTTTTTCAATTCTTTTTAAATGTAAGATTGGTATGCACCAGTTGTATTGAAAGAATGGATGCAATGGGAAGGACAAGTAAAGAGCAAATATTTAATGTTTAAAGAACTTGAAATAGGCTATAATTTAATGCAGAATGCTTTTCAGTTATGGAAATTAATTAGCAAAAAGGTGACCTTCAGAATAGTTCTCCTTGGAGTTAGTAGTGCTCTATAGTATTGTAGTAAAAGAGCTTGGAGATTTTTTTGTTTTAAAAAAAAATACTTTATTGTAAAGTAGAACCTGAAGTTCCTGATAATCAACGTGCTTTTTGATAGGTGGTTTTACCTTAGGAAGCTTACAGTGCTGCAGTCTGATGATACTTTTAGTGTTTTTATACACCCAGCTATATAATTACTTTTACTAGTATTTCAGAGTGATAAAGAACAAAATGTGTGTTTAGTATGTTTTTCCTCTACCTTCTGATTACAGATATGGCTTTTAGCCATATCTTCTGCTTGCTTTTGGTGCACTGCAGAAGTGTCACTGGTCAAGCAAGAATAGACTCTTGCAGAGGTGACTAATCTTACCTCTCACCAGCTCATTGCCTTTCACTCACTCTATATGCAGATATAAAAGGGACCATTGGTATAGTTCCTCTTTGGCTTTTTGTGATTATTTAAAATTATTATTTCTATTTTTTTATTGTGGGGAGGTAGGTGCACATAAACACTGTTCTTTTAAAACCAGCTGACAGAAATGGTAAAAGATCAGAACAAAAATTAACTTTAAATATGTAATGATGTGGAGGTATTCATAGAACAAAAGGTCATTTAAATGGGTGCTGTTTTGGAAACTCAGCTATGTGCATGTTGATTAGATATATAAACAAAAGGTAGCAATGTCTTTAATTATAGTTTCTTTGCTTTTGTTTGTGCTTTTTGTCATAAATATGCATGGATCTAGGGTTCACACTGCTTAGAAATGCCCGTGAGCTTTCTGTTTTGCATTTCTGTGTGCATATACAATTACATATGCCCTCCAGTCTGTCTGGTTTTTTTCATGCCTATTAGGAAAAACTTAGAAAAGTGGTGCCATCAGTTCAGAACTGAGTGGAGCAGAACTTATATCTGCGAAATCAGTCAGCTTTTTTTATATTATCCAATACTTTTATGGAGCAGCATCTTCTGTGCTCTCTTTGTTAAAGAATTGGTGAGGCAGTACCGTACCTTGGGGAAACTTGCCAACACCAGCCACCCATCCTAAGACATGCTTTGGGGACAGAGGGAAGCTGGGCCGCAAGGAGAGGGATGAGGGATCTGGGAGAAAGCCTGAAGAACATGCATCTTGTATGGAGGATGGTTGAAACTCCCTGAGAGCAGTTAATTCAGCTTAAGCAGCATTTTGGTTTTTAGCTGCAAGGACACCCTGATGTGTTTTAAATCAGAGTATTTAATGAAATTCACCTTACAGCAGTGATTAATGTCTCCATAAGTGAGTATCTCTTTGCCAGTGTGTTTCTGAGAGACAGTAAAGCTGCATATTACTTCGACACTTGCTCTCAGATGGCTGTTGATTAGTTGCTGCACAAATCTCTCCTAGATTTGGTAGATTTAACATGACAATATTAGAGGGTAGAATTTGAATGTAAATTCTTGTCCTTCCTTTTTTAATAATATTTTTTCAACCTTTAACAAAAAGCCTTGGAGGAGAGCACTGATGATGGCAGAAATTATTCTGTTTTCCTGCCTATAATAGTGGTGGTCTTTGGTTGTGGTTGAGGCCAATGGTTTTTGTTACACCCTCCCTGTTTATTGATGGGGTTGTGGCAAGGAACATGGACTTGATTGCTTGTCTTGTAACTTTCTATTTGTCACCTGACAGGCTGAAGAGGAAACAGTGGCCTTTCTTGCTCACAGTGGAAGTGAAGAAGAGTTTGATCCAAGTACTCTTCCAGATCCTGATAAATACAAAGATTCTAATGAAGAGCAAGATTCAGAAAGTGAAGACAGCTATAGGTATGTACTGTCTTCCACGATCATTTTGAAATGTTCATGTTTTTATACACTGTTTTGTTTAGATATTAGGATCCCTGAGATTAGCTTAGTTAGAGCGTGGTACTAACAACAACAAGGTTGTGGGTTCAATCCCTGTATGAACCATTCGCTTAGGAGTTGGACTCAATGATCCTTATGGGTCCCTTCCAACTCAGAATATCCTGTGATTCTATGAACTCATCTTAGAATCATCCTCTTTTCCCTTTTAGTATTTAAGTTTTAGTTTGTGTGTTCGGTGCAGAACAGAAATCTGAGCCAAAGGGTGTTATTCTCTTTTATGAAGCTATATGAGAAAGATTTTTGAGTCAGTGTTGAAGGGATCTCAGTGAGACTGTTTCACCTGCAAAAATCTTGACTAATTCCCTGGAGGTTTTGTATGTTTCTGTGGTGGGTTGACCCTGTCTGGACACCTGGTGTCCACCTAAACTGCTCTATCACTGCCCTCCTCAGCTGGACAGGACAGAGAAAGTATAATGAAAGGCTCATGGGTTGAGATAACACCAGGGAGAGATCTCTCACTGTTTAATGTCATGGATGAAACAGACTTGACTTGGGGAAAAATGAATTTAATTTTTTACTAATCACATCACAGTAGGGTAATGAGAAATAAAACTAAATCTTAAAACACCTTCCCCCCACCCCTTTCTTCTTGCCAGGATTACCTTTACTCCTGTTTTTCTCATATGTCCTCATCTCCAGTGGCGCAGGGGGAGGGGGAATGGGGGTCACAGTCAGTTCATCATATGTTGTTTCTGCCACTCCTTCCCCTGCTCCAGTGCGGGGATGCCTCCCACAGGGGACATGGCTCCACCAGTTTCTTCAGCTCCTCCCTGTGGGCTGCAGTTCTTTACAAGCTGTTTCAGCATGGGTCCCTTCCTTGGGGTGCAGTCCTTCAGGAACAGGCTGCTACAGCGTGAGCTCACAAATCCTGCCAGCAAACCTGCTAACCTGCTCCAGTGTGGGCTTCTCTCTCCACAAGGCCAGAGGTCCTACCAGGAATCTGCTCCAGCACAGGCTTCCTACAGGGTCACAGCCTCTTTCAGGCATCCATCTGCTCTGGCCTGGGGTCCTCCACTTCGGGCTTCAGGTGGATCTCTGCCCCACTGTGGACCTCCATGGGCTGCAGGGGCACAGCTGCCTCACAATGGTCTTCACCACAGGCTGCAGGGGAATATTTGCTCTGGTGCCTAGGTCACGTCCTTCCCCTCCTTCTTCACTGATCTTGATGTCTGCAGGGCTTTTTCTCTCACATTTTCTCACTTCTCTCTCTGTCTGCAGTTGCTGTTGTGCAGGTTTTTTCTCCCCTTCTTAACTGTGTTATCTCAGAAGCACTACCTCCATCACTGGTGGGTTTGGCCTTGGCCAGTGGCATGTCTGTCCTGGAGCTTGCTGACATTGACAGTGTTGGACATAGGGGAAGCTTCTGGCAGCTTCTCACTGAAGCCAACCCTGTAGCCCCCCACTACCAAAACCTTGCCATACAAAGCCAATACAGTTTCAGAAATGCATTTTTCTACTGTCGCATTACAGGCTCTGTATGAAAGGAAAAACATTGAAGTCATTAGAGGATTTCAATGACTGCTTTGCACCTGTCCTGTATTAAATAAATTTGTGCATGGTGAAACTTGATAAATTCTATGATTCAGTGTTGCTCAGACTCTTCAGCATTCACATGAAGTGGAATCTGAGTTAGTAGTAAAAATATAATAAAATTAACAATGTTAAACTTTTCTTCTTAATTTAAAACTGTTTTTAATTATATAAATCAGAAGATTTTTTTCTTGTAGTTTAACAGAAAAGCACAGGGTAGGGATGAGGTTCTGTAATTGATGACAACATATTGCAGTTCTGAAGCATATACTGCAGGAAGATGGAGGGATACTGCAAGAAATCCGTTTGTGTGTTTCTGACAAACAGCTTATCGTGTAAGAGATTCAAAAAGGTGGTCTTGAGACTTAAATGGGAGTGTAGAGTTTTGTTTTGCTCTATTCTAGATGCCTAAGTTCATAAAGCTCTTGCTTTTCACATCTGAATTGGCTAAGTCCTAGTGGCTAGATTGTCCCTATCCATGCGTCACTTAATGTTTTGGAGGCAGTATGCAGAACTGGGTGTGGACATGGATTTAAGGACTGGTGGTCGTGTCCTCTGGAGCTCATTCAGTGGACCCACCAGTGTGGGTCAAGAGAATGACAAGGATGGGGAAATGCATTGGTTTTTCTGAGCAGCAGTAAATTGCTCCTTCTTGGTGCAAGGGGGAGTATGCATTCATACGTCATGTTCGGTATTGATCCCTTCCTCAGAACATCAGCTAGACTCAAGATGAGCTAAGCTCTAAGAAAAAAAGTTGACGGAGATGGACAGATTTTTGGCAGTGGTAATAAATGCAGATTTTTTTTTTAATCAGTGGCTGATTTGGTCAAGATTTGGCCAACATGTCTCAAGAACTGGCATCACCTGAAGCTTCATAACCAGCTATTGTCAACTTCAGGACGCAGTACTGGTCTCAGTTGTTTGCCCTGACTTATGGTTGACTTTTTAATAATGGGAAAGGTCCTTTACTGCCTCCAAGGGAGGTTTTAGAGGGTTTTGTTAATTTCTCCATCTTTATACACTCAGACTGAATACTTTCCTGCTTTTCAGTTTTATCTGTGTTTGCTGGAGGACTGGGGCAATGAAGAACAGGTGTTTTTAGCCTTTTAAAGAAGGCAAGAGGACAGAAATTTAGAAAGTGAGTAAAATTGCTTCAAGTTCTTCAGCATTTAAGCTGAACAGGAGTTAACAAGGACCCAAAGAGCAGTTGCAAACAGCCTTGCTTGCCCTGAAATCCAGAACTTTCTAGAAGAGGCCACATCACTTTAAGCACTGTTCCAATGGGAAAAGTACTACAGATAAACTTTCAACTTCAAAGACAACAACTTTGAGTTTGTTATCAGTGATATCCAGAAACAGAGACACTGGTGTTGTATTATATTATAACCAGGGACAGGCTGGGACTGGATTTGTCAGTCATTGCTAAGAACAGTCATTAAGTTGAAGTGAGTGGTGAGAACAGCCAAGGCAGGTACGCAAAAGAAGAGAAGGAAAAACTGTGGGGTGCTCATTAGGGCAGGAACAGTGCACAACAACATGCAGATAGATAGATTTGGAAAAAGTCAGGCTCCAGGATCAAATTACATTTCTAGGAGTGCCTGAATGGAGCGTGTTGGAATTCAGAGCCATTGATGGCTCCGATGTGCAGTGCAGCTTAATCCTGTGCAGGCTATGGCCTGCCCAGGGAACATCAGTCATGTTGTTACAGGCTAAATGGATTTGGCCAGGGTACTGGCATAACTATTGGCATGTGATTGTCCACAACTGCTGTGACTTTGGGTGGTGCCAATTAACGCTCTTCTGGGCCATGTCTCAGTGTATTTTGATGTGGTAGAAAAGGCCAAGAACTGTTTTCAATCGGCGGTGTTGATGAAGCCACATTTCTTCAGAGCATGTAGTGGTCTTGCTCTGAAGTCAGCTTTGATGCTCAGTGTAGGTATGTCTGGAGACTTGCGAGGCGCTCTGAGCACCCCTTAGAAGGCTTTTGAGAAAGCAGAGGTGCAGCTGGAAGAGGAAGATACAGTGAAGGAGATTAATTTAGGTCTGGAAGAAAAGATGGAAATAAAGAAAACCAAGGGAATTTGAATAACCAGTAAACTTATAGATAAAGGAAAGTGGTAGCCGAAGAGACTGGTGGTGAGCATAAGGCCATGAAGAAATGTTATTTGATTTTGTATTGGGAAGGAACGAGATGGAAGGGATGTATGCAGGGAAGGAGGAGGGAGGATAATGGATTAAGAAGAATGAGTAAGGGAGCAGGCAAGAAATCTTGCTGCCAGTGGGAAGGAGGGATTTTTGTTAAAACAACATTCATGCCTTGTACACCTTTCTGAGAGCTGCCATTGAATTGTATGATGAGTTGCTCTTGAGGCTGGGAAATATTGACCTACTGATGTTAACAAAACTAATTCAACCAAGAGTAGCAGACGGTGAAATTAAGCTTTCATATTAGAAAATACAACTCTATTTTATATTTCAAAAATCCAGAGCTTTTGCTCAAAGAGTTGGATTAAAATTAGAAATATGTTGGGCTACACTAGCTGTTACTTGCTTTAAGGAGAAAAAAAAAGGAGATAATTCAGAGCAAGTATGTGAGACCTAGAGTGTCTTCCTACAAGAGTCTTTAAAAATAAACCGTCTGTCCATGGTTTAAAAAGTCAAAGACATTGTTAATCTCTTCTCCCTCCTCCCCCAGCATTTTTTTTGACTGGGGGAGCTATACAAATCATGGGTTAAATATGCCTTTGAGTAAAATTCCCTTCCAGCCATACCTCTAAGAGCAGAGTAATTAATTACTCCTAGCATGTAATATGAGATTAATTTTTGTATATCTAGCAACATTCATCATATTTGGTTTAAGGCTATCGGTGTAAATTATTAATGAGGTGAAAAATTTAAGAATATAGAACAGGGTGAAAGAAAAGCAGCTGGATTCTTTAAATATTCATTTTGCAATTGAATTGAGTTTCTGGTATTTCTAATTCCTCAACCTCTTTAAATAAAAATGGTGAGGAAGAACAAAGTTCTGACTGACCCTCATCATTACCTTCTTTAAATCTTTAATAGGTGTGACTGATCACATTAACTCTTAGACCAGCATGGAAAAGATCTTGGGCATGAGGGGAAAGGAACAATGTTTTAGTTCTTGTACTGGTTTGTTTGTGAGTTTATGGACAGTCACCAGCTGACAGGTGTGCAAGCTAGTATTCAGTGCTGCTTGGTTGTGCGCCTGCCTTTATTTATGGTAAACTGCAGTTTCTTGTGCCTTTTTATACCAGGATGCTGATGTTGACCTACTAAGTTTTACATGATTCTTGATGAGTTTGCCATTACATTGTTTTTTGAGATGATTCATCTGCAAATATATGGTG